AGAATTTCCGTACTTAGTGGTTCGAGCATATAACTTCTTACATTGACTTCTCGTCCTACCTGATGAGATACAAGGGGACAGGTGTGAATAAAGGGGGTGCAGAGGGTCTGACAGTATAGCCTTCACCCATTTCGTACAGGAATTTATGTATCTCTCGACTATAGTATTGACGAGCTCACGCAGTGGCAGACCACAAGCTCTACTCACAGCATTTAATACCCTTCGTAATATGATACAATCTTTTTTGAGAAGCCCAGGAAAGATTAATGGAGAGCAATAGAGTACAATAGGTAAAATACAGGAGTTTGAAAATTGCAAAACTAAAGGTTGGTTGATACCTGATTGTCTTAACTTTTTAATGTAGAAGGTAAGATGAAACATTTTCTTAGAGATTGATAAGATTTGGGATGACCATGAGAGGTCAGATGAAAGAACTAATCCAAGATATTTAATGCTTGATTTGGTTTCAATTTCAGAGCCATCTATGCTACAGGCATCATGGAACGAACTAGTTCATGTAAGTCACGTCGATGCTTGAAAGTAAAGTTAACTGCCTGACATTTGGAAGGATTTAACATCAGACCATTTGACTTAGACCATTTGCTGATGTTCAACAGAAAGCTATTAAGTTTGGAGCTGTCAGACTCGGAAGTGATAGGCAGTGATACAGTCAGATCATCCACATATTTGACAAAGTAAGTTTCATTTAAATGAGGCAGGTCTTGTAGGAAGAAAGAAAAAGAGAAGGAGAGAGGACAGCACCATGAGGAACATCGGCTTTTGCAAGCGAGGCAGAAGAAGATTTGCCATTATATACAGTATACTGCATTCTATCAGAAAAATAAGAATGCAACCAACTCTTTGCCCAGGATCCTGTTTGTGTCAACGATAGCTTATTTAATAAAAGGCCCCTAAGTACAGAGTCAAAAGCAGATGTGTAGTCTAGGAAAGCACCACGAACATATTTGGCACCTTTGTCTAAACAACAAGCAACATTATGATATAAGACGACCGAAGCATCCAAGGTACATCTATATGCTAATCGTTTAGGATCATTAAAAGGTTTCAATAAAGGTTCAAGACGAAGTAAAAGTAATTTTTCCATCAATTTTAAAAAAAGGAGAAGTAATTGCAATAGGCCTAAATTTAATATCAGAACCAGAAGATGGTTTTAGTATGGGGATAATTTTAATGTTTTTCCATGCAAAAGGTAGAACGTTTCCGGAAAAGGAAGTATTAAAAATGTTAGTAAGAGGGTAACACAAAATATGTAAACACTTTCTGCAGTTCTACTAGGAATAACTTGCACACGCATCTGTAGTTACCTTAATGTTATGTTTGAAGGAGAGGATGTCTAATACATTTGTACCAAAGTGTATTTTTTAAATCGAAGTGTTCCTTTGAAGTCTGTAGAAAAACAATCGACTTGTAAGTGGCACAAGGGTTAAGACTCTCACCGACCACGTCTATGGTCCGGAGTTCGAGCCCCCGCCGACGTACACCTGATATCTATGGTCGGCCTGCAAAATTTGGGCTAACTATATCACATGCTGAAAATTCCATACTTGTACCAAAAATACGGTGTGGAATCAAGCTATAATCAAAAAAATACTACAAACAAATGAAAATCATCTCAATTTGAAGAGTTTATCTCATAAAAAAGACTAAAACTACCAACATAGGAGTCGATTTAAATTCATTTCAAGGAAAGTTAAATTATTTTTCTCTTCACCCTTTTTTCATATTTCTGTTAATTATAATTACAATCTGTTTTCTGAGAAATGATATAAGTATAAAACTTGGTCACTGTAGTGGTAGAGCATAACTCCATTATGGATAAGATTTTATTTTGATAAATCATCCAGTGTTGTTATACAGTGATATTAACTGATGACCACGTTTCGAGCACAAACTATTGACACTTATAATCATATCAAGCTGCTCACTCACACAACTTTCTTCCTTCATTTATATAAATGTGTGGAATTGACTAGATATTTGAATAAAAATCCATGTAGGATAATGTACACTCAGAAATAATAATACGAGTGTTATTGACCAATTACAATCAGGTGGGAAATACGACGAGTGTTTTTTATAGTCATAATAAGCTACTTGTTAGAATGTTGTGGTGTGTTTGAATTGAAATAGAATTTTATGATTATTTATTATCCTCTTCTGATTTGACTGACTGGTGGTAATAATATCTTCCATACATATCTCTGGTATTTCCATTGAGCCATTTCTGTTGCATCTGTTGGGTGTAGACTCTGATATATATCCACATAATGTGTGTTTTGTTTGACAGTCTGATATATTTTGCTATGTATATATGGATCGATATTCCATTATAATTAGCCAATCATGTTAAGACTGTCTATTGATTTGTTCATTTTGAATATTCGCTCACACACTTGTTCGGACATTCATATATATTTTTGCTCTCACACACTTGTGTGACATTGATTCTCCTTGTGTTTGGAAAATAGAAGTATCATCGCAAACCTAGTGGTCTTCTGATTTCCGTCTTTCTTGCGTCAGGACTATTAAATTCTCGACCAGTACATAACAATAATTTGGCGACGGGGAAAACTATGGATCCTTCTAAATTGGAATTACTATTTGAACGACAAATGAAATTAATGGAAATGTTCGTCAACCAACAGACTGGTCCAACTTCACCTTCAAGCAATCCCAATCATACCATGCTACCATCTGTCGACGGAATTGTGAATAGTATTTCACAGTTCAATTATAATCCAGATGCGAATGTCACTTTTGACACATGGTATCAACGATATGAGGATTTATTCACTGTTGATCTCGCCTCACAAGACGATGCTTGGAAGGTGCGAGTGTTATTACGTAAATTGGGTCCCGCAGAATATGAAGGTACTGCAACCTAATTTTACCCCAAAAACCACGTGACAAGTGTTTCGATGATACAATAAAGCTGCTGCGTGAACATTTTGGAGACCACTCCTCATTATTCAGCATACGTTATCGTTGCCTCAAGCTGACAATGAATGAAAATGATGATTTTCTTACTCACGTTGGCACAGTCAACCGAGAATGTGAGAGATTTCGACTCAGGTCCTTAACAGATGATCAATTCAAAGCCTTGATTCTCATATGCAGTCTTCAATCTCCTCGTTTCACAGATATCCGAACTCGACTGCTCAATCAGCTAGAACAAAATCCTAAGTTAACATTACATGACATAGCTGATGAATATCAACGGCTGATTAATTTGCAGAAAGACACACACCTGGTCGAATCAACACCTTCGAGAAGCTCTGATATTCATGCATTACGAAAGAGCAAAAATCTCTCATCATCCAATCCTGACCCACCTTCTTCTAATGTTCCGCGTAAATCTACACATACTCGTCCAACTTCACAAATACTGCAAAGAAGACCCCACCATCACCATGCTGGCATTGTGGCGCGTGGCACTTTGTAAAGTCTTGTCCATACAAAAATCATCGTTGCAGCAAGTGCAAAATCATTGGTCATAAAAATGGATTTTGCCAGCCACGCAAACTCAGATATCAAAATACAGCGAAAGCTCGACAAACTGTTGGTCCTAAATCCCCAAAAAAGTCAATGAGTCTAGTCGCAACCTGTCAAGTCACAACACCAGGTATGCGGAAATATCTTGATCTTCAGATGAATGGTCATGATACACGTCTGCAGCTAGATACCGCCTCTGATATTACTGTTATATCAGAGAAACTTTGGAATGATATTGGCAGACCACCTATCACAAATACTTCCCAGACTCTTGTCAGCGCCTGTGGTGGGCGGCTCAAACTAATTGGTGAACTCAAATGTTCTGTTTCATTCCGTAACATCAAATTCACAGGAATTTGCTACGTCACCAAGAGTGATTTAAATCTTTTGGGACTTGATTGGTTCGATCGTTTGCATCTGGCTGATGTCCCACTAAATTCGCTATGCAATGCAGTCAAGAAGCATAAAATGTCAGACAATTCCGGACGAAGCCGAAGCCGCAAACCCAACAGACAGACGTCAACAACAAGCTCAACGGTTCCAGATAAACCCCCAAGAAAACACGCTACTAATCATCAATCTTCTCAAAAGGGGAGGTGATATATATATCCATATAATATGTGTGTTTGTTTGACAGTCTGTATATTTGCTATGTATATATGGATCGATATTCCATTATAATTAGCCAATCATGTTAAGACTGTCTATTGATTTGTTCATTTTGAATATTCGCTCACATACTTGTGTTCACACACTTGTTCGGACATTCTTATATTTTTGCTCTCACACTCTTGTGTGACATTTTGATTCTCCTTGTGTTTGGAAAATAGAAGTATCATCGCAAACCTAGTGGTCTTCTGATTTCCGTCTTTCTTGCGTCAGGACTATTAAATTCTCGACCAGTACATAACAGACTCAATGGACCAGGATTCAGTAATCAAAATCTCTCTGTCTCCACCTACCTAGATTACTTTTTAGCGTTTTAACCCTCTCCCACCCTATTGTGTGGTTGTATGTTAATGCATGTAGTGCAATAGCTGAGCTTTTTTCTAAATTACGTATCTTCCCCGGTGGGGTCAACCATTCTTACCTTAGCTGAATTATTATGTTTCGACAATCTGATTATCCCCGATCTACTAGCAATAGTTTATGCTCGAAAGGTGGTCATCGGTTAATATTACTGTACAACAACACTGTGTGATTTATCAAAAAATAAAATCTTATCCATAATGGAGTGTTTTCTAAGAAATTTTTTGTTAATATATATTTTACTGCATATAATGTTGTGTAAACACAACACAACTGTACAAAAGTCAACAGAGTATTATGAAAACAATTGAGATATATAATTGAATTATTTATTCTGGAAACTTCTATTGATTTTTTTACAGTATTCATTCTTCCTTCGTGTGTGTTTAGCCACAACATCTTTTTCTCTAACATATTTAAAATTGCACCTATTTTTTATTTATTTACCAATTTATTTAATCTTATTTTGACTGAATATTTTCTTGAATGTCCTTTAAAAAATAAGCACAGTTCAAAGTGTGTGTTTTTTCCAATTTGCAGTAAGTGGGTAAACATTTTCTTTAAGTGATTCAGTCATTTTATCAACACTGAATAAAGTCGATTTGAATCACGAACAAAATTAGATAGAATTTGAAAATTTAAACAAAGCAACAACGATACACATTCAACAATATTTTCGTGAGTTACAATCGATGTATACTATGCAAAGGAATATATATTTCATATATATGATTCGTTGTAATAATCACTATTATATCTACACACGTGTCACTTGCTAGTTTTCTGAGAGTATGTATAGCCAATCCATCTCCACTTCTTCCTACCTATTTGTTTCTTAATCGGTTCCTGCTGGGTTGCTTCGCTCCCAGAGATCCTTGTTGCTGATCTTTTCTGGCCAGCCATCTGATCCTGAGTACTGAACGAAGATAGCTGTTGATGAAGGTCTGAAGTTTGTTTGAGGTGCTCTTTATGACGTGCCAAGTCTCTGATCCATTCGTATAGTAGCACTGACTGACTTCACATTGGAATTGAAAATCTGGATCTTATTTTTGATGCTGAGTGATGTTGACCGTTACACAGACTTCAGATTATTGAAAGCTTGTCTTGCTTTTCCGATCCTCGCTGCTTTGATATCCTCGTCAGTTCTGCCTGTAGTTGAAACGATGCTTCCCAGGTAGGTAAGGGAGGTTGTTTCTTTCAGGTTCCTCCCATTTATTCTGGCTGATTGTTGTCTGTTGTTGATGCTGTGGCTGTTGGTGTTGGACAGGAATCTTTATCACCTTTGTTTTCTCTAGGTTCACCTGAAGGAAGTCCTATCTTCTCTGGATGCTTCTTGTGCCAGCTTGTTGCTTTTCACTTGCATATCTTCCAGTTTTTAGGAAATCAGACATATATCACCGGCGAAGTCCAGATCCTCTAGGTTTTTTGTGAGTCCATTTTATGCCTGTTTCATCATTTCCCCACCCGCTGTCTGTCGCATCATCCGATCTATTGCAATCAGGAGTATCATTGGCGATAGCCCTCGAGCGGAACTAGAAGAGGGAAGCGGCGAGTTGGTCGTCAGTGCAAGGGTGACTTGGAGGAGGTCACGTGAAGAGGAGATGAAAGCATTTGGGCAAACTTGGAAACAGGTGAAAACTCTTGCAGAGAACCGAACGCAATGGAGACGCACGGCTGAAGCCCTATGTTCCTCTAGGAATTAAAGGAAATAATAATAATAATAATGTTCATGACAGCTTTAGCTTTTACATTTTATGCAGTAGTCATCTTGTGTTAATATTATGGAGAGTATAAAGACGAATTATCAAATGCTTGGCTAATGATTGGCTAAAATGATGATCTTCATCGTTGGAAATCCGAGTGAAATATAGGGCTTCAGCAGCACATCTCCACTTCGCCTAGTTCCCTACAGTCCCTTTTAAGCTGACCCCATGATTGTTCCTAAGCTTTCTTGTCCTCCTCACTATACGTTCTCCTCCACGTCACCCTCGGACCGATACCCAACTCGTCGTTTCCCATCCGTGTTAAACTAAAGAGATGACCTGGTACGCGATATCACTTAGTGGTTTCCTCAGCGTGTTTCAATCCCTGTCCATTTTCTTCTGCATATTTGTTGAGTAATAGGTGCTTGATTGGTTCATCTCTAGGGTTTCTTTTTGCTAATTCTTTCCGTGGATTTGATCATCTCAATAAGCAGCCACCGAAGAAGGCTGCTGATAAAAGCCTGCACCTGCTTTTCTTGAGTGACACTTGTGGGCCGAGTTACTGGCCCACATAGAAGAAGAATTGACCTGACTTTGCTGTTGAAAATCTGAATTTCATTGTTTATGCTGCAGGGTACAATGGATTTCTGAACTCATCTCCGAGTGATGAAGGTCTGCCTTGCCTTTTACGATTCCCGTTTTGACATCTTCATCCGTTCAGCTTGTAGGTGATACTATTCTCCTTGTTGTGCAAGATACTTGTTGAATGTTTGCGCACTTTGCTACACTGATAGGAATCATACATGTCGTGACCAAGCTAATAGATTGTTGAGATATGCCTGTAGAGTAAGCATATTTCTATCATCCTTCATGTCTATCCAATTTTCTGGTCATTTGCGTAGAGGAACCATAGGAGATCTGGTGAGCCCAGGTTGTCCGTTGATACACAGCATAAATAAGAGGCGATGAAGTACACTAACCCTATTCAGGAAGAGAGTCTGTCACCTACAGACGAGGAATTTTTTTAATTGAGTTAATCAGGCTGCTAATGAATCATAGATATACCATTTTCATGAAGGGAAAACAACAGTCACAATACCATATAAAAATGGGACATCAGAGGCAATTCAAAGAAACCTCAAAAAAAATATCGGAATTCGAACAACGTTTAAACTGACGAATCTAATCAAAAATAAAATAAATCAACTGAAGGATCCCATAAAAATGATGGATAAAAACAATTTGATTTACAAAATATCTTGTGCTGACTGTTCGACTAATTATGTGGGACAAACGTCCAGATCACTCGAAATAAGAGTGAATGAACATAAACGCCTAACCAAAGGTCAACCAACAGGGACACATTCTTAAAAGAGTCTTGAAAAAAATTCATCGATAGCTGCACATGCATGGGACAAAAACCACAATATAAATTGGAACAATGTGTGTATTTAGATAAAGCAATAAGAAGACATAATTTGTCTGAATCGTGTAATGTATTTGCTCTCAAAACACATTTCGAACAATCTGATCACACACGGACTTGTCATAGGAATATATATGAAATTAATAAAGAGGTAAGAGGTGAGAAAATAGACTTAGGTTTTTTGATTTTTGATTACAGCTTGATTCCACACTGTATTTTTGGTACAATTATGGAATTTTCAGCATGCGATATCGGTAGCCCGAATTTTGTAGGCCGACCATAGATATCAGGTGTGCGTCAGCAGGGATCGAACCTCGGACTATATGCATGGTCGGCGAGAGTCCTAACCACTGTGCCACCGACGCACAGGGTCAAGTTAAAAGGACATATTCAAGGTCAAAATAACAATGAAGATCACTAAACCAAATAGCAGAGGTAATAGTACATCTGTTATGGTATCAAAACAAAATTTACCAAAGAAGGTTTAGTGTGATGACGAATTGTTTTTGATCTCATAAAGGTGGCTTGAACTTTCTAATTGCTAGGGCTTCCACAAACTTTAGGATACGCCCCAAACACGTTTTATAGATAGGTTTAAAAGATCTGTTAACATCAATTTCATGTCCTGTCTCTATAATATGTTTCGCAATAGATGAGCTAGGTCTCCTGTTCTCACCATTAATAGGTTCTGAAGATTGCCTTTGTTTCTGGAACCATTTAGGAATATGCTGTGAAGCCATCCCTTACTTGCAGAGAGATCGATGAGTCCTCCTTATGTATGTGTGTCCACACGTACATTCAAATTGGTAAATACAGTGGGATGTGACTTCATTTTTCGCATGTTCGAAGGGCTTAGATAGATATAATGGCTTTACATTCTCTATTATTATGATATTAGCCGCATAAAAAGTCTTTTTAACACCAGCGTTCAGTCTCTCTGCTATTTGGTTTAGTGGTCTTCATTGTTATTTTGACCTTGAATATGTCCTTTTAACTTGACCTAAGTCTATTTTCTCACCTCTTACCTCTTTATTAATTTCATATATATTCCTATGACAAGTCCGTGTGTGATCAGATTGTTCAAAATGTGTTGTGAGAGCAAATACATCACACGATTCAGACAAATTACGTCTTCTTATTGCTTTATCTAAATTCATAAAGGGAACTAATTGTTTTAAATGTGTGTATTCTAAAAACTAACATGAACAAACGGGAAGAAAGACTCATAACAGAATCGACATTCATTAAAGTCACAAGGGATACATGTAACAAGGGTAACTCAGTACAACTATCAACAAATTGGAATACAATTCAGAATATAAGAAGATAATTCGCAAATCGACTATCCAACTCAGAGAACACAACCACATCAAAATTCCGAATACAAAAAAAAATGAATGATCAAAAAAATTAATAATGAACTATATATATATGAGTATAAATCATAAATGTGTGAACAAAACAATTCCAACAGTGGTGTGAACACGGGCAGTAATTTTGCTCGAAATATTACCAATAACAAAACTTATCATTGTGTGTGTAAACTATTAAAGTATAATTATACTTTATATAAATAATCTTGGCTGTCTATGGAGAAGGGAATGAGACTTGATATATATTAGGACCGATATGAACTTAACTGAAATCATAAGTGTGTGCGATCTGCAATTTTGATGTGATACGACAATAGAAAAGCAGATTTCTTTATTTTCATTTCTTTCTACTAAATTATTCTGTTTTCTGTATGTGGTGTTATACAGTCCTCAAAGATATAATATCTACATTTGTTATATAATTTATCGATAAAACGGACTTACACTGCCACCACCCTTTGTCTGTCATTTTCCAGCCGACCAATTTTGATTGTTCAAGTGAAAGACAAGCTAACTATCTGAGCCACTTCAATGTGTATGTATAAATTTAGTTGCTCCTGTGGGGAGAGAAGGCTATATAGGCCGAACAACTAGACAGCTTAACAAACACGCATTAATGAGCATCTTCCTTCATGGTTCGGAAAAGGTCAAATAAAATCCATACGAAGTTCTACTTTGGCTCATTTGATTGACAGCGGTCACCAAGTGGACAAAAAGTAGTGCCTTCAAAGTTATCTATCGCATTCCCTCGAGTCTTTCGAACGGAATCAGAAACCGTCTTTTACACTTAGCCGAAACTATGAGAATTCGAGAGAGCATTCCTAGTCTTTGCATACAAAAGAAGTTTGTTCTACCTTTGTCTCTCCCTTGCTTGCCTAGGTGAATTCTATTCAAAACCTTCCCACCTTTTCTTATCTTCCATCTCCTTCGTACTTTTATGATATGTATTTAAACTCTGATTATATGTTCACTTCACCTTTTAAGATTTGACCTAATTTATTTATTTTTTGAATTGTCTACATATATACTTATATACATATATTACTACCTTTGTTATTCTTATCGCCACCTGCATACACCTTACTATCAATATTTTGTTATCATTATAATCATCGTTATTATCTACGTTCAAAATATTTACCACACTATTATTATTATTTGATCCACAAAATCACTGTCATTGGTTAAAATGTTTTATATATAAATCTATGTAAATTAGAGTAAAGCCTGAATAAGATCTAATTGAAAACAACATTGTTCGCTTATATGTCTTGTTCTAATATAATTTAGTGTCAATTTTCTCTTTTTTTCAGGCTATGCTACTTATCAATAAAGTGTTAACTTTGTGGACAATATGCTGCATACTCTTATTTTCACAAATTTCACAGTCCAATGGGATTCTAATCAGCAACTGGTTGATTGTATTGATACTAATGTGCTTTATGGATTTTATTCTTCTCATCACAATTGTGCTGTTCATGTCTGGAAGGTATGTGATCATCAAATTGTCAACTGACAATGAATAAATCTGATTTTGGAGTTTCCATCTCATAGGGGCTCACCGTATTTCCTATTTGTACATTTTAGACTTGGTGATTGTGATGCGGGGAGTAAACTCAATCAGACAGTGGCATTAAGTTTTATCCTGTGGAAATTGGTTGGACAGATTGTTCTTTGCTTGTATTTTGAGGGATATATAGATGGTTTATCTTACAACGGATTTCGACTGTTACAACAACAACAACAACCACAGCAACCACCACCGGCGAGACACCACCTTGTTTTCCTAGTATTTCCTTTATGGACTACCATGCTCATATGTTTATTAGCAGCTTGTAGTCAAATTGTAAAGAGCCAAAGTACAACAATTTGGGCATTTCTTACAAATGAACAGCCAAGTGAATGTCATAAACTCGAAAATCAACGGAAAACAGAAATTTCTCTGGAACACTGATGAATGCCTTTTGGTTATGTCAAATTTTTTTTATTTACTTATTATCAAGAATCCAATTTAATATATATATATATATATATATATATTTCTTGGAATAATAGTGTTACTTTGTGTGACTTCCACCAGATTGGTTTTGCCTGTACAGTAGATAATTTGTATAGGTATGAATTTCTAAAGAAGCAGTTTCTTGAATATTTCAAAATATCAGAGATATACGTTTCTGACTTCTTGAAAGTTTCGAGGATAATGCAATTAAAAATCCTGTGGACACTATTTTGCATCAAATCAAAAAAATCTACAGGTGGGTGATCTAGTATCCGTATGAAGACACATTTGGGTGAGTCACAATGGTTTAATCTAATGCCTAAAGCCAATAATGCTAGTAGAATGTATGGCGCTACTGAAATTCATAAAGCAGGATATCCTATTAGCCTAATAATTGACTTCACACACACACACACTAACATAAGAGATATCTGAATTTCGATAGAGAAAGGACGACCAGATTCGCAGTACAAAATGATGCTATCATTCTATTTCACAGGTTCTCATCAACTGCTTCAAACTACCTGAAATTACAATGGTTATAAATAATAACATTTCATACTTCAAGGTTTGAAAGCTAATAGAGAAAACATTATAAGGTGAACGCATCTGGAATATAAGTATTACAGTTTATAGTTATAAGTTACCATCAATTTATATACTATCAAACTATAAAAACAGAAAAAAGGGGGGTGAGAGAAGAGAGAAAACAGAAAAATCTAATGAACAGTGTCAACATGGCAACTCAAGAAGGTTAAAGTTCATCAAATTGAAAAGTTGCTCAGTGAGTTGAGCCCACTAGTGTGTATGACTAATCAGTGTAATGAAAGTGATATCGTTACCAATGGAGTGAGAGATTGACTACACTCTCTCTTACTGTATGCATAAGTTTCGTCTGTGACGTTTGATTGCAATTGCTTCAGTAAATCGTAGTAGATTCGTTGCCGCAAGTACATTGGAAGGATAGAAAGAAGGGCTTCTATCCGGTTTTCAAAGCATATTCCGAGAAACTTACGCTTAAAAGGAAGCAGATATTTACAAAGTGCAAATACCAGACACCTCGTGGATACGGGTCATTTTGTCAAGATTTTCAAATCCTTCAAAATATTAAACATACAAAGGACAGCGAATCTACTACGATTTAATGCTGGAGCAGTTGCAATCAAACGTCTTAGACCAAACTTGTGCACACAGAAAGAGAGTGCAGTCAGTCTCTCATTCGCTCGGTGACCGTATTACTTTCATAATAATAATAATAATAATAATAATTTGCTTTATTCCAAAAACAGTACTAATGATACAGCAAGGAATTTTCAGCATTCAGTACAATATTGCATCTAATTTACTCAAAAACGACAAAAAAAATTAAAAATACACATTACATAATAGTAATAAAACGATTGTTATAGCAGCTACATAGCAAAATACTGTATGCCATACGGAGAAAAATATGCATAAAGTACAAAATTGTAGCAATAATAGTAATACCAACTAAAATAAAATAACAGAGTAATAATTAAACGATAGAAAGTGTGACACCATAAAATACAGAAAGATGAACGATGAAAGGGTCGATTCACTTTGCTAATTACATAGTAACTTGTAAGTTTCACGTCTAACAGAGTCTTTGTCACATAAAGTACGGCCTAAATAGGGTATTGTAGAATTTCTGTACTTAGTGGTACGAGCATATAACTTCCTATATTGACTTCTCGTCCTACCTGATGAGATACAAGGGGACAGGTGTGAATAAAGGGGGTGCCGGGGGTCTGACAGTATAGCCTTTGCCCATTTTGTACAGGAATTTATGTACCTCTCGACTATAGTATTGACGAGCTCACGCAGTGGCAGACCACAAGCTCTACTCACAGCATTTAATACCCTTCGTAATATGATATAGTCTTTTTTGAGAAGCCCAGGAAAGATTAATGGAGAGCAATAGAGTACAATAGGTAAAATACAGGAGTTTGAAAATTGCAAAACTAAAGGTTGGTTGATACCTGATTGTCTTAACTTTTTAATGTAGAAGGTAAGACGAAACATTTTCTTAGAGATAGATAAGATATGGGATGACCATGAAAGGTCAGATGAAAGAACTAATCCAAGGTATTTAATGCATGATTTGGTTTCAATTTCCGTGCCCTCTATGCTACAGGGATCATGTGAGCTAACTAGTTCATGTATGTCACGTCGATGCTTGAAAGTAAAGTAAAGTGCCCGACATTTGGAAGGATTTAACATCAGACCATTTGACTTAGACCATTTGCTGATGTTCAACAGAAAGCTATTAAGTTTGGAGCTGTCAGACTCGGAAGTGATAGGCAGTGATACAGTCAGATCATCCACATATTTGACAAAGTAAGTTTCATTTAAATGAGGCAGGCCTTGTAGGAAGAAAGAAAAAGAGACGGAGAGAGGACGGCACCATGAGGAACATCGGCTTTTGCAAGCGAGGCAGAAGAAGATTTGCCATTATATACAGTATACTGCATTCTATCAGAAAAATAAGAATGCAACCAACTCTTTGCCCAGGATCCTGTTTGTGTCAACGATAGCTTATTTAATAAAAGGCCCCTAGGTACGGAGTCAAAAGCAGATGTGTAGTCTAGGAAAGCACTACGAACATATTTGGTACCTTTGTCTAAACAACAAACAACATTGTGATATAAGACGACCGCAGCATCCAAGTTACTTCTACCATGTTTATATGCAAATTGTTTTGGATCATTAAAAGGTTTCAATGAGGGTTGAAGACGAAGTAAAAGTAATTTTTCCATCAATTTTAAAAAGGGGGAAGTAATTGCAATAGGCCGAAATTTAATATCAGAACCAGAAGATGGTTTTGGTATGGGGATAATTTTAATGTTTTTCCATGCAAAAGGTAGAACGTTACCGGAAAAGAAGCATTAAAAATGTTAGTAAGAGGATAACATAAAATATCAGCACAATTCCTGAGGACAATGGCAGGTATGCCGTCAGGACCAAGGCTTCATTACACTGATTAGTCATACACACTAGTGGGCTCAACTCACTGAGCAACTTTTCAATTTGATGAACTTTAACCTTCTTGAGTTGCCATGTTGACACTGTTCATTAGATTTTTCTGTTTTCTCTCTTCTCTCACCCCCCTTTTTTCTGTTTTTATAGTTTGATAGTATATAAATTGATGGTAACTTATAACTATAAACTGTAATACTTATATTCCAGATGCGTTCACCTTATAATGTTTTCTCTATTAGCTTTCAAACCTTGAAGTATGAAATGTTATTATTTATAACCATTGTAATTTCAGGTAGTTTGAAGCAGTTGATGAGAACCTGTAAAATAGAATGATAGCATCATGTTGTACTGCAAATCTGGTCGTCCTTTCTGAATCAAAATTTTTCAAGGGAACTAAATATATCAGAAATCTGAATATTTAGCTACACCCAATTAGAGAAGATCGAATTCTAGGCTAACTAATTCTCATGTAGTAAAACAGAAGCTAGAGGAAATTCAATTAGAAAAAGATGAAAAAATTATTAGTTTTGACATAACCAGTCTGCATACTAATATTCCCATTCATACAGTTCTAGAAGCAGTTAGAATTCTTATGTTCCGATAATCTGACTGCCCCTGACCTATATAGTTGACCTCACAGTTATTGCAAGGTACTTTGTAAATTATTTTGTCTGATTGGATTCATCGGGTCTTTTAACCTACAGAGCTTGTCCTACTTGAGTGATTTTGTAAAGTTTGAACGCCACCCTAATCCCTGCTTTATTGAGAATCCTACGTAGGGTCTCAGATGTCCCCTTCTGATATGGTAAAACTCTAGATGCCTATATTCTTTCTTATTTGTGTTATCACTATTAGTTTCACCATTATTTTGATTTTGCTTTTGACCTTTTTTGATCTTCCTAATGAATTTCATAGGATAGCCAGTTATTTAACACCAACCAGTCGTTCTTCTATCTGTTTCATTTCATCATTTAGGTGTTTTGTTGTACTACTTAGCGCTATTGCTCAGTTTATTAGACTCAATTAAGCTTACCTCTGTCTGTCTGTTTTCGACATAGAACTTTGCACTGATGTGCGGCAGTTCAAGTCGCCACACTCCACGTAGCACACAAAGTAAGAGAAGAAATGCATAATAGAGACAGTAAACAGAGATGTGAGACAAAGGAATAGTAGTAACGAAGATCATAGTTTAATTGGAAATCATAAGTCACAAGGAGTGGATGCATCTGCGCCACTGAGAACAATTTTGAGCCATGTCACCAATCGTTTCCAACCATTGGTTTTTACCGTTCCGACGACCCCAACCAGGAAGCCAGTCCACATCTTCCTACATGGCTTAGACTAACTGTTGTAGATTTCATTGACTGGTGCCATGTTTTTGTTTGACCTCCACTAGCTCTCTTCCAGCCTGACCCTGTATCCGCTAACATTGCTCGTCGAGGAAGGCGATGACTAGGCATACGTAACACATGTCGTAACCATCTCAGTCTTTGTAACTTCACAACTTCGTCGATTGATTCCCTCTGTTTACCTAGAACTCCACGCCTAACCTCAATATTGCCTCTACAGTTAACGGATGAGATGAATTGAATTCTAAATATCTATTAGCAGAATGCGTTGGCTTTTTATAAATACTAGTGAGCAGTTTACCTACTTCTGTTCGTTTGATCTTACAATCTAGCATAGCTAATTCTCCTTATTCATTTTCTGATTCACTTTTATTCCCTTCACTAGTGAGTTTATATGCGTCAAGAATCTGGAGATATGTTCTGTTTTTAACACTGTGACAGTGACACCCACATATCTCCACCATATTTTTGGAGTAGGATTAAATGTCTTGAGAGCAATACTGCTGAATTGTCATTTGTCATCAGATATGCTTACAGCGGTTTAAAATCTGCCAAAGTTTCTCGAGAAAAAAGGTTTATATTGGTCCTATACAAGGAAGTAATTCAGATAGAATATCCCATTCCTAGAGAATCAGATGGTACCATCTTAACGCTTCCTACCGGCATTCAAGCGCGAATCCAACTAATA